TGCCAGGCATGTTTCTAAGACTCATAAAATATTATGTTATTTCATCTTCACAACTTTTTGAAATATATAGTTCTATCGTCCCCATTCTGCAGATGAGAAAACCGAGGCACAGGGAAGTTAATTAGGCAGCTTAAGGATACAGAAAGCTCAGCTTCACTCCCAGGCAGACAGATACAAATAAAGACACACTGCTCCATGTACAGTTTGAATCTAAATATCTGGACTTACTAGAACAAATCAACAACATTCTTGTTTTCTCCCTTCAGTTCTAGAGTCAATGAATTTAAATGTCTTCTTAAGAAATTACAATCTTTTGAGCAATACAGGGATAGGAAGGTGGGTCCCACGTTGAATCACTCAGTGTCCTAAAATTCTTAATTTGAAGAAACTCAGTGAACCTCTTCTTCTCAAGCGATGCCATTTGATTGCTTTTAATAAGAACCATGCTCTGCTTTAGGTTCTTCTGACTTCTCCTTAACCTGGAAATGGTTAAAGGCACAAGCAGGCCATTCACTTTTGAGCAGCTGCTATCATGTCATGCAGTAAGTTCACCAGAGATTCATGATGAAAACTGCAAGACAAGCCGGATCCACAGTGTTCTCTTGACACCTTCATTTCCTTTCCCTCCAAGTGACCTATATGCAGCAAATGAACTCACTTTTCTATGTGTATTTAGTTCAGGTTCTCGTGTTTCTTCCTGTCCAACGTGCCTAACAAGCTCTTGTGGTCTAGCTAAATGGCTAGTCTTTTCTTTTTCATTTTTTCTGGCTAAATAACCAGGTGGACCACACACCAGGGTCAGTGATGTCTGAAACCACCAAACCAGCTATTACTGGTGTTAAAAGGAGCACTTCTTCAGGGTCCTGGGATTTCCTGTCAAGGTGTTTGCACAGAGATAGGAGCTTTCTCTTTGATTGTGGGGGATTGTTTACTGTTTGATCCTCAATCTACATGCTCTACAGTCTTTCCGTTTCTTCTTTTTCTTTCAGCCTCGTTTTTATTGGCTCTGTAATACTTGAAGTTATTCCAGCCATAGATATTTCCTTTTATTTTTGCAGCACTGCCTGTGGATAAGCAACACAGATTATTCCCTTATTTCTGCTGCTCAGGAAGTGTACATATCCTCTTGATTCCTTCAAAATGTTTGATTATTTCAAGTTTCTCTTCAATATTGAAGCTTTCCTTTTGCATGCATTATTTGACATTTTGAATCAAGAGGCTTAGACATTCCTGGGATGTTGAAAGAGGGTGTTTTGGGACAGAAAAGTTCACCACTACAAAAGAACAGAACACAATCTTGCAGGATAACATGTGGTGAAGCAAGGTAGCTGGTAGATGTTTCAGGTGTATGTGTATTTGTATTTTGTGTACTCCGACATGGCTTAAGTCACTGATGGTAGTTTAATATGTTGGTGTTCTGGCTGAGGAAATGATGCACAAGCAAGCAAAAAAATGTGTGCTACGCTCAAACTGTTCCCTAAGATTTCAATCGCACTGACAGGATGCTTATTTTCAAAAACAAACAGTGTAACACAATTGACTGTGTCATCAACTTTCAAATGGTCAGGAATATACTGTTAAGTAAGATGCAATAATTCAATAAATCCCTGCTCTCCTGGCGTTTACATTTTAGTGAAATTCAAATGTTGATACGATTTAAGCTTACTTTCAATTATGAGATCTATAGTAAATAGCTAAAAAATCATATCAAATAAACTTAAGTTACTTAAGACTCATTTAAAGTCAGTTGTTGCATACTAAATTTTTAAATACACACTACATTTTAAGAGGCAGTCTAAAGTCTTATAAATCAAAATGCAAACAGCCTTGTTTTTTTAGAATGTCCATCAAAGACTGAAAACAAACAAACAGGCAGACAACCCTAAAACATTATTTGTGTCCCTGGAGTAGCACCACACATATTAATACATATGTATTAATTAATACATGATCTATATGCTCACTCACTCCTCACCACCCACCAGCGAGCCTAATTTGAAAAATTTTAAATACAAAAAAATTTCAAAGAATTAAGATCCATGAACCCAATGACCAGAATTAACAAACAGCACTGTCATTTTAAAAAATCTATAATTTAAAAATTCCACAGAAACTGAAGATGGCTGTGGATTCTTCTCAAGAACCACTTGTGAACCTCTTCTTCTCAAGCATGCTATTTGATTGCTTTTAATAAGAACCATGCTCTTTAGAGATCAACTGACTTCTCTTTAACCTGGAAATGGTTAAAGGCACAAGCAGGCCATTCACTTTTGAGCAGCTGCTATCATGTCATGCAGTACGTTCACCAGAGATTTATGATGAAAACTGCAAGACAAGCCGGATCCACAGTCTTCTCCACTCACTCCTTATATTTAATTGTGTTTATCCTTCCAGTCCACATAGAACGATTTTAAAATTGCAATTTAAAATGCAGTGTGAGATTAGAAATGTATCTTAAGTGTTTTTTTCATGTCCATTCTTAAATTTTTTTCATCTACAAAGACATATACGAAGAGAAAATACTATATAATAAATATCCATATACCTATTACCCAGGTTCAACAATTATCAAGATTTTGCTACATAGATTTTTTTAAATTAAAAGCAAAATCTGTAACAACCATTCATCCTATAGTTTGTCAGTCAATAAACAAACACCTACTAAGGGAGACAGGGAAAATTATAGTTAGTTGTGCTCTTACTATGTGCCAGGCAGCAGATCTTCCATTTCCTGACCCATTTGGGAGTCACAACACCTCTGCAACCTCAGTAGTTTTATCAGCATTGTTGGGAGTGAAAAATGAGGCTCAGAGCAATGAAGATTCTTGCCTAGGCTCCGCCAGTTGATTTTCTAGAACCAATTTCATAGTGTGTGTAAAAGTCACCAGAGGTTATTATTCTGTTGAGGAATATAAATGAAGAACAAAATGAGAAGGTCTCATTTTGGGTTTGTGCGAATCAATCCCTGTATTGAGTTGGAGGGCAACCCAGCATTTGTTACAGAGGCTTTGAGACAGTGACTTTCAGTTATTTAATTTTTAAAAATGCCTGTTGTAACTTTCACTTTAAGACATTTTCCTGTAACTATTTGGATAACAGAGAGAAACATTTTCCTCAAAAAAAAAAAAAAAGAAAGAAAGAAAGAAAGAAAGAAAAGAAAAAAAAAGAAATCTGATTAATGATTCAATATACTCTTGTAAATTCTTACTTACTCTCTATAGCTCATGACCCCAGTTGACCAACAACCATAATTACAAAAAACAATTTCAACTGCAATTTGCAGGCTTGCAGATCGATCCACCATGGATATTTTCCAAAGCAGTTTTGAAACTTCTTCCCTGCCATGTTGCTTATTATGTGTTATTATACACTACAGCAAACACTTCACAACCTTTCTTGATCTTGATGATTCCAAAATAAGCAGACGTGAATGCTCCAGTGTGTCAATGCTATTAGTCAGTCCTGTGGTTAAGAGGATGGGAGTTTGGTTCTCCAGGACATATTTTTATTTAGTAGCCTAGAATGTCACCATTTAGAAGCACCGCATGCACGATGATTCAGCTATTCTGAGGCACTGTTGAGATTCAAGAAACTCAACTATCCAGTGTCTCCCAGTTGATAGGTAGAAAATTTTAGGGCAGAAAATGTCTTACTCTACGTTTCGGTTTGTATTTGTATATCCTAAACTCTCCAGTCTTCAGGGCAGGAAAGAGCCTTAAAGATCATCTGGGATCAGCCAGGCCTCTTCATCTTGCAAATGTGGAAGCAAATCCACCTTTTGTTTATATTTTGTTTCATGTGTTTCTTGTTTGGTTTTCTTTTTTTTTCCCAAGAGAACAATGCCAAGTTACTGTACTGACCTGCAAGGGAATCCGACCATGCGACAGTCTCTGATATTAATATAACAGAAAACAACTGCCACCGAACCTTAATGTGAACAGAGTCCAAGAATTTTTTAAGGCTGCCCTAAAATGCAGTTGCTGTGCCCAAGCTTGCAAGTTCAAAAAACACCTAACTACAAGAGTCAGAACAGAAAGTGGGGAAGGAAGATTGTCCCACTCTTGGTGTTTACTAAATCAAATTAAACTATGTTCAAAAGTGGGCTTCTAATTCTACTTTTCCGTTTATGATTCACATGTAGCACTTTTTCACTTTTTTTTTGCAAATGTCTCCTGGCTAAAACAATTTTTTTTTTTTTTTTTTTGGCCATAGCCCTATCACTGTATTTTGATTCTTTCATCTTTTCCTAAAATACAGACCCTTAAAATGTCTTATACCTCTGGAACCCACCTTGGCGAGGAGGTAATTTAGTGGGTTTGTCTCTCTCCTTCCCCGCCCCCCCTTGCAAGGAGGATCCCCACATAGAGAAAGCAGGTCAGCGTGACCTCGGATGAGCCTCCTGCAGACCTCGGGGGAGGGAGCTCCGGCCGCGGCACTTCCCCACGAAACCCCAAGAATACGGGGACCCCTTGGGTCAGCTCCTCTGGCTCCAAAGCCTGGCCTCTTTCTTTGGGCTGCAAGGTGCCCAGGGCAAGAGCGGGGGGGGGGGGGCCGGTCCCCGGGGCCGGAGCGCGCGGAGCTGCGGGCGGCGCCACCCCGACTCCCGACTCCCGACTCCCGAGCGGGGCCCGCGGCGCGGAACACCCGGGTCCGGCGGCCTCGCAGCCCGCACCCCGGGGCGGGGCCGGTAGCAGCCGCGCCGCCAAAGTTGCACCGAAGCGAGCGGGGTGCAGGGGTGCAGGGGTGCGGGGTGCGGGGGCAGGGGGTCAAGGGGGCGGGGTGCAGGGGGTGCGGGGTGCAGGGGTGCGGAGGCAGGGGGCCAAGGGGGCGGGGTGCAGGGGTGCGGGGTGCGGGGTGCAGGGGTGCGGGGGCAGGGGGTCAAGAGGGCGGGGTGCAGGGGGTCAAAGGGGCGGGGTGCAGGGGTGCGGGGGGCAGGGGTGCAGGGGTGCGGGCCTCCCCGGGGCGGCGGAGCCGAGGCGCCCCCGGGCTGCGCTCCTTACCTGCCTTCCCGGGCCGGCGCAGAGCTCGGGTGTCCGCCCGCCGAAGTTTCCAGCCCACCGCCCGGCGGGGCTGGGAGGCGCCGCAACCCCCGCGCCCGGCTCGCGCGCTCCTCGCCGCGCACCCGCCCCGGTCGCGCAGTGTGACCGCGGCCCCTGCGGAGCTCGCGCGGGGGGGGGGGACGGGCGCGCGCCCCGGGGCGCGGCGGCGGCGGGGGGGGGACCGGGGACGCGGGGGGGGGGCACCGGGCCGCCCCGGCCTCCCGCCCCCAGGGCTGCTGCTACACCTGGCGGCCGCTGAGGACCGAAGTTTGCCAAGACGCCCCCGCCCCCCAGGTCTACGCCGATCACCTTACAAAATAAGCCGGGTATTCGCTGCTGGGGCGCAGAGCGAAGGAATGGAGTCCTGACCGTCCTCCCGCCCGCGGGCCCTCTCACTCCCGCACCTCGGCACCCCCGCCCGCCCGCCCCAACGTGAGACGCATGACCCCAGTGGGGATATTTGGGTGCAGAGGACACAGAAAACTCAAATCAGTGGACAGCTCAAAAAAAAAAAAAAAAGGAAAAGAAAAAGAAAAAAAAAAGCAAATGGGAAAAGAGCAGAGACAACCAAAGAAGGAAAAAAAAAAATAGAAATGATTAAAAAAAGGGGATCCCTGGGTGGCGCAGCGGTTTGGCGCCTGCCTTTGGCCCAGGGCGCGATCCTGGAGACCCGGGATCGAATCCCACGTGAGGCTCCCGGTGCATGGAGCCTGCATCTCCCTCTGCCTCTCTCTCTCTCTCTCTCTGTGTGTGTGTGACTATCATAAATAAATAAAAATTAAAAAAAAAAGAAATGATTAAAAAAAAAGTTCAAATCGGTACTAAGCCAAATGCATGCATTTTCAGGCAAGGCTCAAAGGCACCTTTCCTCCTATGAAAGGAGGGAAGTTTTTGTTTTGTCTCGGTGCTCAAACCATTGGGTGGTTGGCGAGGGACCTGTGAGACACACAACCTCCTTGCTCAAGGATTTGGTCTCCCATCTCTTTGCACCCTCACTTTTTACTTCCTATAACCGTGTTGGTGACAGTGATTCCAGAAGCAAACTATGTATGGAATAATCCATGTCTCTTTCGGTCCCCAGGATAGTTGCAAAAGTAATTAATATAAGCTGTGAAACTAATTTATATTAGAAGTTAGAAGAAGTACCCCGTATTGCTACACACAATACGTAGCTAGAAGGCACTCCACTGCGAGGCCTTTGCTCTTACTCTTTATGCTAGAGATTTACTCAGACGCGTTAGAAATAAAATTTGAACTGGACCTAGTCCAGGGTATGTATATATCCGTATCTGAAATATGGCCAGGGAAGTGTGAAGGTCACACGCTTTGATACCAGCTGTACTCCGGGTTTAGATTATACTTCTTATTTAGCGTTGTGCACCACAATGTTTTAAGGATTATATTCCTGGTTATTTTTAGTTTAGAAACTCAGAAGCAACAAAGATGTGACAGACAGACTGTAAGGTGGCTCCATGATTCCCAGCAGCTCCTGGTGTTCACACCTCTTTGGGATCCCCTCCCTTTGGGTGCAGTTGGGATCTGTGACTTGCTTATAAACAATAAGCATAGCACAGGTGATGGATGTCAGTCCTGTGACTACACTATGTTACAAAAGACTCTGTCTTGCTAGCAGGCTCTCTCTGGAGACTGTCATCTCTGGCTTGATGAAACAAGTGGGCACGTCGGGAAGTCCATGTGGCAGGAACTCTGGGGGGGCCTCTAGGAGCTGAAAACAGCCTCCAGCCAATGGCCAGCGAGAAGCCAGTTCCCCGAGTTCTGCATACCCAAGGAGATGAACTCTGCCAACCATCTAAGTAACCCTGGAGATAGGTCCTTCCCCAGTCAAGCCTCCGGATGTGAATGTGGACCAGAGGACATTTTAACTGTGGCTTTGTGAAACCCTAAGCAGAAGACCCATTTAAGCCGTGCTTGGACTCCTGACCCACCAAAATTGTGAGTTAATAAATGTGTGCTACTTTAAGTTTGTGATAATTAGCTTATATGTGTTGTTTAGATTTTCAGCCTATTAGTACAGACACCCTTCTTTGGTACATTTTTTAAAAAAGATTATTTATTTATTTATGATAGACATAGAGAGAGAGAGAGAGAGAGAGAGAGAGAGAGAGGCAGAGACACAGGCAGAGGGAGAAGCAGGCTCCATGCAGGGAGCCTGACGTGGGACTCGATCCCGGGACTCCAGGATCGCACCCTGGGCCAAAGGCAGGTGCTAAACAGCTGAGCCATCCAGGGATCCCTTCTTTGGTACATTTTATGTTAAATATTGCTGCCCTGATGCCTTCTGATTTTTCTCTTTCTTATTCCTTGTCATATGTATCCTTGCCTTGATCTTCATTGCATAATCTCTATGGAACAAAAACTCCGGTGAAATGGTACCCTATAGATCAGACACAGGTGTAGGTCTCCCTGGGATTTCCAGCTGCATTTCTACTTCAAGGGTTATGTGTCCACACTTCACAGCCTCCACCCTTTAGGTGCTTTGGGAGACTCTCTTGGCCAAACATCTGAGGCTGGACAGAAACAGTCAACTCAGCTCACACAACTCAAGTTGCCATGCAGCGTGAGGAATGCCAAGGTAAAACACTAGGAGCCGATTAAGCGCTAAACCAGGGTTCATTTAATCCTCTTATCTTGGAAAGCTTTAATCTGGGGCTTCCAGAGTCTTCCTTTCTTCCTTGACATCAACTTGTTCCTCCTCAAAGCCTCAATCCTTCAGATTTATGCATTTCCTTGTTACTTGCCCCTACCGAGATGTGACGCCAGCCTGGCTTGGTCACGAGCTCTGCTTCTTCCTTCCTCCTTCCCTCCCTCCTTCCTTCCTTTCATCCTTCCTTCCTTCTTTCTTCCTCGTTCTTTCATTTTTTAATCCCTGTGTAATTCTCCATAGTTCTCCTCCTCTACATCCCTATTTGCTTCTCATTGTTATAAATTTTTCATTATACAAGTAATACATTAAAATAATACCATATACTGATGTATATTGTGTGACTTCAAACTGCGTTTATCAGCTATTTTTTTTCAGACAACAAAAGAACTTGGAGCTTGTTTCTCTTTTCTTATATATATATAATCATTCTTTAAAATTACTGCATGATTTTATGGTATTATTAGTATATCACAATGTATCTATCCCCTTAGCTATTTAGGTTGTTTCTAATACTTCTGCTATTACCAGCAAATGCTGTGTGCATGATTCCTTTGGCGCATAGGTTAAAAGCAGGTTTTTTTTTTTTTAAGATTTTATTTATTTATCCATGAGAGACACAGAGAGAAAGGCAGAGACACAGACAGAGGGAGAAGCAGGCTCCTCTCAGGGAGCCCGATGTGGGACTCGATCCCGGGTCTCCAGGATCACGCCCTGAGCTAAAGGCAGACGTTCAACCAACCGCTGAGCCACCCAGGCATCCCTAAAAGCAGTTCTTAAGGAGGAAATTTCCTTTTTAAATATTTATGTATTTATTTATTTATTTACTGATTTTTAACGATTTTATTTATTTAGAGAGAGAGCACCCGCAAGCAGGAGGAAGGAAAGGGGGAGAGAGAGAGAGAGAGAGAGAGAGAGAGAATCTCCAACAGATTCTGTGCTGAGCGCAGTGTCCATTGCCAGACTCCATCCCACAATACTGAGATCAGGACCCCAGCTAAAATCAAGAGTCGGCCACTTAACCAACTGAGTCACCCAGGCACCCCTCCTTTTTTTATTCTTAAAAGTATTTAATTATTGAAGTAGAGTTGACATAGAATGTTATATTAGTTTTGGTTGTACAATATAGTGGTTCAATGATTTTATATATTATGCAGTACTCACCACAATTAAGTATGTCACCATCTGTCACCATACATCATTACAGTATTATATAATATATATATTTTTTCCCTACCCTGTATCTACCTTTCATCTCCATGACTTATTTATCTTATAACTGGAAGTTTCTACTTCTTAATCCCCTTCACCTGTTTTGTCCATCCCCCTACTCCCCCTTCTCTGACGACCACCAGTTTGTTCTCTGAATTTATGAGTTTGTTTCTGATTTTTGTTCATTTGTTTTGTTTTTTTAGATTACACATATAAATGAAATAATATGGTATTTATCTTTCTCTGACTCATTTCACTTAGCATAAAACCATATATCCATCTAGGTTGTTGCAAATGGCAAGATCTTTTTCTTTTTTATGGCTGAGTAACATTTCATTAGACAACATCAACAAAATGTGTATACCGTACCCGTTCATCTATTGATGGTCATGGGGGTTGCTTCCGTGTCCTGGCTATTGTAAATAATGCTGTAATAAACAAAAGAGTGCATGTATCTTTTTGAATTAGCATGTTTTGTTTTCTCTAAATACCCAGTAGTAAAATTACTGGATTATGTGGTATTTATATTTTTAATTTTTTGAGGAACCTCCATGCTGTTTTCCAGGGTGACTGTACCAATTTACATTCCCAACAACAGCATTTGAAGCTTCCCTTTCCCCCACATCTTCACCAATTCCTTTTTTTTTTTTAAGATTTATTTATTTATTCATGAGAGAGAGGGGGGGTCAGAGAGAGAGGCAGAGACACAGGCAGAGGGAGAAGCAGGCTCCAAGTAGGGAGCCTGATGTGGGACTCGATCCAGAGACTCCAGGATCACGCTCTGGGCCAAAGGCGGCGCTAAACCACTGAGCCACCCAGGGATCCCCTATCTTCACCAATTCTTATTATTTCTTGTCTTTTTTCTTCTCTAGCCATTCTGACTGGTGTGACGTGATCTCTCATTGTGGTTTGATTTGCATTTCCCTGATGTTGAGCATCTTGGCACGTGAATGCTGGCCATTTGTGTGTCTTCCTTGGAAAAATTTCTATTCAGGTCCTCTGCCCATTTTTTAATCAGATTATTTGTTGTTGTTGTTGTTGTTGTTTTTGATGTTGAGTTGTAGAAGTTCTTTATATATTTTGGATATTAACCTCTTACTGGATATATCGTTTACAAATATCTTTTCCCATTCAATAGGTTGCCTTTTCGTTTTGTTGATGGTTTCCTTGGCTGTGTAAAAGGTTTTTATTTTGGTGTGGTATTGCCATCTTAAC